CTCGTTGTATTCGATATTTTAGACTTCTTTCAGCTTCCGTGTCGTTGTAAAATAGAACCAGAAGCCAAAGCTGGTGCCAATGATCGCCCACCTGTGATGGGAAAAAACTTTGTTTCCCCTGGACATCTTTCAGTATCGCGATCCTCCAGTCGAATCACAACCCGTCTGACCCCTCCACCCTGTACATGATGCCATCAGACCGAGAGGTTTTCCGCAGCTGGGCCAAAAAGGTCCGTTCTGACGCCATCTCCGTAACCAGAGCTCCAGTTGACCGGTCCGGTTACCCTAGACACTGCCAACTCTTGTATCGCGATGAGTACAGTAGATAACCTTGTGTTGTTCTATGATTCGTTCTACAATTAGAATCGCAATGTATTGTCTTTGAACGTATGATAGAGGAGCGCTGGTTTTGTGGAGCGCCATGGCACGAAAATCTCGTTGGCTTGAAAGCATGCAGAATTCCTTACAGTATTCGTATGGATGTCAAAGAGGTCTCGAATTTAGCAAACGTCAAGTCGGTTCAGCCATCAACCAAATTCAAACTAGCGTCTAGCAGAAAGACCCGGGTACCATATCACGAGGGAATCAGAGCTTTAAGCACTACCTTCTGCTTACAACGTACTCATTGTATAGAATCATGAACACTGAGTTGCCGTCTCTGATATGCAGCTAATTTGAGCACATTGCAGTTCTTATCACATGACGGACATGGGTGAATAGCCACATTGACACGGCGGCGATCCCGAGAGCTATCAATAGCTTTCCAGAAAAGCTATTCATAACTACCTAGCACGGAACAATATCCGGCAGTGCGTAAATGTATTGAAGCGACATCGACACCGTCACAGCACGATCTCATGGGCATGTTTACAATCAATGAATTCAAATTTTTGCCAATAACTCAAAATAACGCAGTCGTTGAAACTCGTTCACAAAAGGACATCAACTTCAATCAAAACATGAGCCGTTCCCCATCCCAGACGCCAAATCCAGCTGGGTATACAGGCCGCTGCTCTTGGCAGGAACCTAAATCGTCGAGATAAGCAGATTTTCCATCATCATCCCCTCCTCATGCACCTGTGAGCTATGGAAAGCCTTAGGTGCATCCTGTACCCAGCGAACGCCACGGTGCAAGATGTCAACTTGAATAGTGGTTCGTCCGCTTCGTGGTAGAGCCACGAAATTGGTCGGCCTGGCAGCTGGCGAGTCTACACAATCATCTGCGCGACGCCCTGACCACCGAGGGTCTTGCTGCCGACAAAGGCCTGACCCTTGATACCGGCAAGCAGGTAGCAAAGAGCAGCCAGTAGCAGGAAGACAGCAGCGGCAATCAAGCTGCTTGCACCGCTGACATTGCTGATAAACTGAAGAGCAGACATGACGCCGTAGGCGGCCGCACGCATATAGTTGGTCGAGATCTTGCGAATCGTCTCATCGAACTTGCCGGAGGTTGGGCAGATTCGGAGAAGAAGAGGGACTTCGATGAAAAGAATGACAAAGGCCGATGCGCTGTGGATGGTTAAATTTGAGGCTTCATCATGACGAGGGCTATTCTTACATAGCAAAGGCGCAGAAGATAATGCGAACTACATTAAACGAAAAGATGTTGGCGATTCCAACAGCCAGACAGATGATCATGGAAAGAATTCCAAGCCTATACACAAGTGGTGTTAGTCGGCTGTTACGTCGTCGTTGACTCGGTATGGGTCATGTCGCAAAGTGGCTTAACAGCTCAATAGCTATGACTGAAGCTGTACACAGCCGAGGGTCGTTAGCTTACCATTGTCCGTAGATGCCTACACGATAATTAGTATCTCCCACAAAGCGCAGTCAATCGAGAGCGACATACTGAAGTTTCGCGTTTGGAACTCCTCCTTGAGCGTCATCTTGCCAGCTTACGTCGAGCTTTCGTATTCGGGCTTGGACCAGCCTAGGGAGAAAGTGACTGATGTTTTCTAAGAGACCAATTCGAGATGGCAATCTGATTGCAGTAAAGCGGATCGAGAAATGTCGATTGTTGCGACGGCGATGGAGACTGAACCAAGAGGTGGAGAGTTTGAATTGTTGTGACGACGGGGATGCGAAGTTTGAAATGATGAACGTAGCCTCTTCGTCAGGCGTAAGGTTGGCGCAAGGATGGTATGGTATGGTTGCTGAGGTGGTCCCCAATTTTGATTGAGGCTGGTGCAGGGTCAAAGGGCTTGGCTCCAAGTCTCAATACGGACGGACAAGTTAATGGAAGGGCAGGCGAGTGGATGCTCCACGGGGCATTGGTTGTTTTGTGTTTGTAGGGGAACGGGTCCTTGTAACGAGGATGGATGGTGCGCTATTGATAGTGGATAGTGGAGGTCGAGTTGTCGAACATGAGACAAAGGGTTTTGGTTTCGGGTCTCTGGCTCTGCGGAGACGCAACCAAGAGGCTTTTGTATTCCTTGTTTCTTCTCTTTTCTATTCTTCTTTGACTTTGTGCTGTCTTGCTTAACATGTATTCACTTTCTATTTAGGCAACTCTATTATCTGCACAGTCAAGTGACGTACGTTGACCACGCGGCATCGCCAAGCCTCGCCCAGAGTGAAGCGGAGTTGGTTCTCGACTGGAGTCTTTCACAGAGACAATTGCCAAGTTTATTAACGACAAAGCTCACTCAGCTAGTGGATGCTTTGGAGCTCCACGAATTCGTATTCGAAGGCACCAGTTTGAAGGTGAGGGCATATTGAGATTCAGGCACCCTTTAACAGCCGTGATTTAAGCCCACGAATCAACACTCAAGGTTCATGCATAGGTATTGTACATAATGTACTTAGGTAGCCATGAATTGGCAATACTCCAGACTTTATAAGAACCAGCTATCGTTTTGGACTTTACAGTCTGGCAAGTTTGCGATGCTATAATGAGCACAAGACTGACTCCATCTTGCTCTGAATATTGTTCCTTGGTTTACTTTCATAATTAGCGTTCTACAGAATTATATGGACTAGCTACGGCTGCGTGACACTCGATCAACTTCAGTCGTGTTACCACGAACAAGCGAATCCGTCAAGAGACTCATCTAGACCTACCCCAATCGAGATCTTCTCACACGAATAACCTCAATTCAGCCCTGCCAACAACACCCAACTAAACGTTCCATGGCCTGCACGATCGTACCTTATTCTTACCACGTGTTGAGGTGGAGTGTTTCCTCCCGTAGAAGATCCGGGGACCTGCCAAAGTTACCTATAAATAAGCTCCCTCTACACCATTACATCATCTTAAACACGCATCAATTCTGTCTTGTAGCTTATCAAGCAACACCCATTCGTCTCTAGCCCATGATCTGATCGTGAAACTCGAGCAAACAACTGGTGAACCAACAATTGCACAACCTGACTCATTACAAGCTCTCGGTCATTAAAGCCTCTTACATTTTTGAAAGTCTGTCTAGTGAATGAAGCCTCACGGAAAATGACTTATACGGTTCTCTCAAACGACCAGGTCAACTCCATCTTGGAGGGCCTTACTGTTGACGAGCTTGATGAGTTTCGCCATGTTTTGGCTTCATCCCTACACGAGTTCTCTACCGGAGTACCGGCTCTTGAGGAAGCCTTTCAGCAACCAGAACGCATCTCAACACTACATCCAGAGACCATGGCTAGGACGCTGTACATGCCCTCATGTGCCCCGTGTGGAATGGGCTGCAAAGGTGAGACTTCATCTCACAGTATAGACGAATCAATCTAACAAATAAGTAATTTCCCTGACAAGCACGGAAGCATCACAGGATTCTAGGGTTACGCAGATCAGTCCTACTGGTGTTCTCAACCTGTTCCGGCCAGATGGATCACCACTTGGAATCGTCAATGCAACAGCCCTCACAGCATTCAGAACAGCCCTGGCATCTACCTGTTTGTTGGAGCGCCGTAATCATGTTAAGACCTTGACGGTATTTGGCAGCGGTCTTCAGGCTTACTGGCATATCCGGCTTGCCCTGATGATCCGCGGCAGTACTATTAAACACGTTCATGTTATAAACCATAGGTGGAGCGATAAAGCGACCGGCATCCTGAAGAGATTCGCCAGCATCCCTCCTGAGATCAAGAGACGAGAAGGTTGGTCAGACACCAAGTTCGGTCTCCTGATCCCTGCATTCCACGAATATCGACGCCTCATCAAAGATCAGATAAGGGATGCAGATGTGATCTACTGCTGCACAGCCTCGCAAAAAGATCTCTTTGATGGATCCATCTTAACGTCTCATGAGGGCCGCAAGAAAGGAAGACTCATCATCGCTGTCGGAAGCTATACGCCAGAAATGCGGGAGCTTCCAAATGACCTTATCCAGTTAGCAGTAAAGAGGGAGGACAAGCCTCATCGACACTTCCACAAGCATGCAGTCGAAGGCGGAGTCATCGTCGTTGATAATATCAGAGGCGTGCTCAAAGAAGCAGGCGAGATCATTGCTGCCAATATTGGGCCCCATCAACTTGTAGAGTATGTGCTTATTCCTCCCCTTTAAACAGTCACTGACATCAATGACAGGCTGGGAGAGCTTGTGATGCTTCATCGTCTAGCTATAGAGGAGTCCGACGGATTCTCCAGTAGTCAGGCATCTTTTTCTTCTGACATGGATAAGCTAGATATCCATGGTAGGATGAGCTCCATGTCCACGGTCTATGGCAGCGGAAGCAATGCTAGTGACCCCCCGACCAGCCCTACGGGTTCAGTAGAGTCAGAAGGGCGCAGATCCAGCTCCTTTTTCCATTCAAGAAAGAGCTCCAGTACGTCTTTGGACAAAGAAAAGAGAAAATCAGAGGACCATCTCTGTCGTTGGCTGAGGGACGGCACTGTAGTATACAAGAGTGTCGGGCTTGGGCTGATGGATCTCGTGGTGGGAACACATCTGATTGAGGTTGCAAATGAAAAGAATGTAGGAACTCGTATAGAAGGGTTCTAGAAAGGATAAATTGAGATAAATACTAAATGCTCTTAATACATGCTGTAAATATTTGTATACAAACTTCTACTCGGCAACCCAGATGGCGGCCATACCCATACCAGTTCCTACACACATAGATGTTGCGCCAACCTTTTGGCCTGTTCGCTTCAACTCATATAGAAGAGTAGAGACCTGTCGGGCACCAGTGCAGCCTAGGGGATGGCCAAAAGCAATAGCACCTCCCTTGGGGTTGATCTTCTCTTGAGGAATACCCAGTTCGTTGGCACACCACAAGCACTGACTGGCAAAAGCCTCGTTGATCTCCCAGATATCGACATCATCCTTGGAGATGCCGGCAAGGTCGAGAGCCTTGGGGATAGCCTTCCAGGGGCCCTGACCCATAAGAAGGGGCTTGACACCGACAATCGAGGCGCAAACGTACTTGCCGAGGATTTTCTGTCCAAGCTTCTCGGCAGTAGATCGCTTCATGAGGAGGACGGCGGCAGCACCGTCAGAAATCTGACTGGCGTTACCAGCATGAATAGAACCGTCCTTGGCAAAAGCAGGGCGGATCTTGCCCAACGACTCAGCAGTGATGCCATCGCGGACACCATCATCCTTGGATACGGTAATCTCCTTGGTGTTACCCTCCTTGTCCTCGAACTTGACCTTGAGAGGAGCAATCTCCTCGTCGAAGAGTCCCGCCTTTTGGGCCTTGACTGCCTTCTGGTATGATGAGGCAGCGAAGGCGTCCTGTGCAGCTCGGGTGACGTTGAGGTCCTTGGCCATCTGCTCAGAGAGGACACCCATGGGCACCTTGCAGTTAGCAGCCTCTGGGTGGTTCTCAAAGGCTTCTGAGAACTCAGAGACAGCGCCAGGGCCATAGTTCAGGGACATGCTCTCGACGCCAGCACCAATACCAATGTCGATCATGCCAGTCTTGATCTGGTTGGCGACATCGACGGTAGCCTGGAGACCAGAAGAGCACTGTCTGTTGAGTGTTCGGACGGCGATAGATTCAGGGAAACCGGCGACCAAGCTGGCAGCACGCATCTCAGTTGCGCCGCCACCGGGGGCGAGAACGGTTCCAACACATAGGTCCTCGACGAGAGCAGGGTTGATCTTTGAGCGGTCGAGGATGGCCTTGAGGACACCAGCCATGAGATCAGCAGCGGGGGTATCCTTGAAGCCGCCGCGGCCTCCCTTGGTGAATGCGCTTCGGCAGGCAGCGGTGACAACGATCTATTTATGGTCAGTAAACTGTAACGGCGCATACGGCAATGCTTGGCAACAAACATCGTCAGGGTTCTTCTGGAGGATCTTGTCGCGACCGCCAGCGGTCGGGTTGCCAGAGATCTGGCCTCCAATTTGAATGATTCTGTCGGTGACTGGCAAGATAATTAGTTGGAGTTTGCGATGATGGCAGTGCGACGGGAAGACATACCACCCATTTTTGCTATGATGTTAGGATAGATAGACAGGTATGGATGTGTGGGAGAGAGCTGAGTAGTAGTGCTGGGGTATAATGCGCAAAACAAAGGACAGAAGTTTGATTGAGGCGGAGAAAAAGTATAAGAGAGGAAGGATTATTATACAGAGAGAAATCTCGTTAGACCTCGGATGTTGTGCAGGAGTAGAAGTAGACTCGGGCTTGGTCAGCTTTGTCACAGGAGAAGATAGATGTATGGGACTGGTAAAGAATGGCCGAAGATGGAGACCAGCTAAGAACGGACTTCAAACCGTGAGACCGACCGACCGAGGCATCTCGTCGCCCCAGTTCTTGGCGTTGCTAGTGCCTCTTTTTTAGTGTCGGGTCCGATCACATGTTATTTCCCCAGCTTTCAGCGCGGGGGAACTTCTCCAACTGCATTCACTCTTGCGTCACGCGGTGGCTAGCAAAGTAAGAAATACTCCAAAAAAATGACGATTTGATCTGAGTCTGATAAGCACGTGGTCCCCCAATTATCACAAGGAAATAACCGACTCGTTGAAGACTGGCGAAACTGATTCGTGACACCGCCGTTCCCGAACTGGGTATCAATATTAGAAAACATAATAAGAATTTTAATAATACAAAAAAACAACGCCATTCTATACCAAGGAAAGGAAACGAGCAAAGATGATCAACAAGATGTCCCCCAGTCGCGAATTGCTATTTCATACAAGTGTCAAAGAAGAGGAAAGGCCACCGCAGTCCGAAACGGCCGGACTCCAGGCGGTGGTAGGGTCCTCTTCTTGATATGATTGAGATGCTATCGACAGAGCATCCCAATCCCAGGGTGAACTTGAGTCTTCGCCAGAACCTGAGTCGCCCACGGATTTTGGTACCGAAAGTGAAGTGTCGAACGACGTATCTATCCTGATAGATGGTATTGACGGTACCGTAAGGGCCCGATTGCGGCCAGTGGTATACTGTTGTGGCGCAGGAGGTGTAAGCACATACTGTCCGAGGATATCTTGAGGTTGTTGCATATAGGGAGAGCTGATGCCAGTCCATGGTAAATATTGGCTAGGAGGTGCAGATTGAGACAACTGTGCTATCTTGAAGTTAGTTGCATTGACATGAGCTAATCAGAACGACATTCTACCTACCAGTCTCATCCACTAGATGCAGAGCTTTGAGTGCATCAATCCCAAGCTCAACACTGACCCGTTGGTCTGGAAGCTTGCCAAGCCGAATTGACAGTTGCTTTTGAACGCTGCCAATTGTTTCCACGTCAATTACATCCAGTTCGCACCAGTGTCGGGCGTCTTTCCAGCGAGGCTTAGGCACTGGATGTATCTTGACGCCCCAGTTGCGAGCAAAGTCATTATCGACGACACTCGAGTCCCGAGTGAGATAGCACTTGGCAATGCACGGCACTTCGGTGGTCTGAGTTTTGAGAGTAACTCGGATCATCTGTTCATGTTTGACTCGTGCTGACTGAGTTCTTAGGGCGCTTGGAAGGGGCTGTGCTGGCGTCTGCCAGTTGGGCCCTGACAGCGGAGAAATAGGAGACTGGCCTTGGCTTGGAGGCTCATCGTCTGTGGAAACGGCGGACTCGTCCACTGATAATCGTGGGAATGGCGAAGAGTCATGGGAGCCGAGGGGTGGAAATGTGATGCAAGTTTCGGGTTGATTCGTCTGGGTTTGAAAGCCTAGAGGATCAAAGTACCTGTCACTTCTGGTCCACCGTCGGAATGATTCAAGAGTGTGGGAAGTGTTCGACGAACTACTCCGACGCCTCGATCGATCCTTGGAGATTGGACTGAGTGTAGAGGGCGACCGCGAGCGAGGGGAAGCTTGTCTGATGGTTTCTTCCACGCTGAGTTTCAAGCGACCAGGCCTGCCAGCCAGAGCTGGGTTTCTTTGTCTGCTCGGCGGAGTCATTGGTAAAGGTTAGAGTGTAGACGAAATGGATATAAGGCAGAGAATAGTGCCTGGAAGACGAGTAAATGTTGTTAAAAAAACAGGGACTTCGGTTCTTAAACAGGAACTAGACACAATGAAGAATGAAGCAGTGGGGGTATGAAATTCAACCTGATATATGTAACAGGTGTATGAGGCTTGTTGTCTGAGTAAAATCACCTCTGCTAGGTTTTCCTCGACATCGTGGACAGGCAGCGCAGCAAAAGTGCAGATATCTGTGGCCAGCCATTGGATTAGGCCCTGTAGCAGCACGCTTCTTTATTCCGAGGCATACTGGTCCAATTGTCTGCCTCGATCCTCTTTTCCATCAAACACCCAAAGAATAAGCGTTTTGAGTGGTCTCTGGGGTTTGTCGCTGTGCACAGCCTCGCTTTACCGACATATCGAAGGCGGGCTGTGCTGCTCACGGTGAAATAAAGAGCCGCCTCTGTGCGTTGTGCGACCGAGACTGGCCACGCATGGTTGAAAGCGAGGAACTGCATCTTATCACTTCTGATGAGGCGCGGATGCGGGTTTAAATCACAGTTACATTCCACTTCTGTAACTGCCATCGCCTTGTCACAATCGTGGGCCTTTTCAACCTCAATCTGAAAGGCAACCGGATATGGTGCTGTCAGTGCTGCGCCTCAAAGGAGCATAAGTCACCGGGCGTCAGGCTCTGGCAGAAACAAGATTCAAAATGACCAGTTTCACAGTAAATGATTACGAAGTAGCGTGCCTCATAGAATAACACATTCGCCTCGTCATCGTAATGTGTTACGACTCCGAAAGCTCAATGCCGCTCATTTCCGAGTTACCTCAATGAGGTCCAGGACATAAAAATGTCCATCTATGCACTCGACAGGTATCAATAAAGTCTCGGACTCAATAGTTGCTAAACTTACTACAGTCAGTATATTGTTGTCTTTAGCATGTCCGCTATTTCTGACTTGCATCATAGGTCTCTGAAAGCTGTTTTTGCAGAATTACTATTGATCACCTTACAAGTCTTCCAGGTGTAGACTTGACTCAAGCCAGGAAATCAATTAGATTGGTCGATTTGATGGCCCCCAATATTGATATCAAAGCCTTGTTCATGCTGTGTCCAGTAGATAGGACGGATGTCCAAGAAGACAATGGACAGAGTTGTTACAATGCATTGGTCAATGTATGAATGCTTCTTCCAATACCTGTTACCAACTTTGAGCTAATGTATGTTTAGGTGCTCATGCCTGGCCATTTTTATGCTGGAAAAGGAAATAATTATAGGACAGCCCGTTCTGCGGAAGCACCCACGAGAGCGAAATCTTGTAAGAGACAGCTGAAGGACCCTCAGCGGAAGTCCGTCTATGGAGGTCAAGTGCCTCGAGCCTCCGCAGCATCATTTACTGAACCCTGTTCTGAAGAAGGGCTGAACAATTCGACATATACATGCCTAGGATACAATGGAATCGAAGAAAAGGGATCTTTAGTCAAGGATGAGACGACCGACACTTACACAGAAAGGAATACATACGTTCAAGGAATACTTGATGGAAGGTCCGAAACTTCCCTAGTAAATGGCTTGGAGGAAAGAATACGTCATCTGGATATTACCTTTGAGGATCAACCCGTGGAAGCCGATATCGAAGAAGCATATATACAGGGAGAAGCCTTGACACCACCCGAAATCAAGTTTTCCGAAGACGGTGATATGGACGACGATTACTGGGCTTGGCACCAGGAGTCTGAAAGATTCCGACACTGGGATGCGGAACGTGGAGAATGGTTCTACTTTCCCGAGAGATTTGATTGAAACGATTTGATGAATCTTAGGAGGGTTGGGATGTGTAATGGCCAACTTCGTGCAGTCAGTTAAAGGAGAGCTCTAAGACCAGTCACTGTAGAATCCCTTCGTTGCTCAATACTTTCATGTTTCAATTCCAGCTAAGTACCACGCCACTTCACACTCTGCGCCATATGCTCCTCATTCATACCAAACCCGCTCGTAATCTCATCATTCGTCTCCTCATAGCGTCTCCTCAAAGTCAGGCCTTGCTTTCAGGCTTATCCTTGACAGTCTTATCGTCAGGTGAAAAGCTTAGACTGACGCTGTTCACACAGTGACGCTCATCAGTGGGCGTGTCAAAGCCCTCGCCCTTGAACACATGTCCTAGGTGACCGCCGCAGTTGGCACATACAATCTCTGTCCGTGCCATGCCAAAAGCGCGATCCTCGTGACGGACAACGGCACCAGGGATGCTGTCAAAGTAGGCTGGCCAACCACAGCCAGAGCTGAACTTGTGGCTCGCCTTATAAAGTGGTGCATCACAACCAGCGCAGGTATAAACACCCTGCTCAGGATAGTGTTTGTCAAACTTTCCAGAACCGGGAGGCTCGGTACCCTTCTCACGCAGGATACGGAATTGTTCTGCGAACGTTAGTTACTCTGGGGCATAGATATAGATGCTAGCAGTGCAAGAACATACCCTTGTTGAGGACAGCTCGCCACTCGTCGTTTGAACGTTGATCAGGGTAAGACATATTTGAAGAGTTCTTAGATGAAGTGCCAAATAAAGCGCCCAGCAAAGGAATACCAGACATAGATCGAAGGGGAATAGGTCGAAAGGCCAGGTATGAAGGCAGAGGAGGTCTCACGCGGGTGATATTTGAGAAAGTGTAGAAGAGTGTTGATAGTAATGGAGAGAAGCGCATTGAGAAGGGAGTTGTATATGGTTATTTATATTTGATTGAAGATGAGTTATCATTCATGACCTTCAAGAGAGACGTTATAAGTCCCGGATCTTAGTGGCAACCAGTTGACAAATCATGGGCTGCGAACTGTGGAATCATTTGCATCATCGAATTATTGCTGCTAAGCCTACCACAGCCACATCTTGATTATTCCGCTTTACGCTCTTTTGTGGCCCAACGGCTCGAGTATTGCGCCTGAATACGCTGGCACAATTCCAAATTCGGTAATTTGATGATTCAACTTTTAAGAGATGATTACTCTAAAAGTTTAAAAAAGTCTTATTTTCTTCGAGTACGACAAGACTTCGGTTTCAGCCCCCATGTTTCGCATCTTACCAAAATGATTGAGGTCCTAAAGATAACTTCATTTCGCAAGGTGAGACAGAGCATTTACCTGCGAAGAGTGAGCCATGAGTCTGAGCTTCCGAGACAATGGCAGGCCAAGATAATCAATTAAAAAGCAAATTTGTTCGACCCGACTCTATACAAAAAAGAAATACCTAATTATTGATACAAGGTGAGAGGAAACCTACCTCGAGTTTCGATCATACAGTGGCTTGGCGAAATCTTGTCACCCCCCGCCAATTCCAGGGGTCAGGTACCTACCACGCAGTGTCCAGACCCGCCCCGCCCATGCATTAATTCCGCTGGGCAGCTAAAGGGAACATCACCGACCACCTTGGCACCTCCCTATCAACATTCATCCAATTCTAGGCACACCCTTTTCGAACAGGTTGCCACTTTGCAACAACAGCCGTCCAGAGCGACGCTTCGAATCCTTTTACCTCGACTTCTACCACAACTAATAACGAACTTCCTCTGTGTTTTCATCAATCAGCATCACCATGTCTAGGAGAGCCCCGAACCCCGCTGCTGAGCGGGCGGCGCAAAACCAAGCTACCATCAAGAGTCTGCTCAAGTTGGAGGCCAATAAGGTCTGCTCTGATTGTAAACGAAACAAGCGTATGTATTAGACTACGAGCTTGCTAGTACATTCCCTCTGACCATTTCAGATCCTCGATGGGCCAGCTGGAACCTAGGTGTCTTCATCTGTATCCGATGTTCGGGCATCCATCGTGGCATGGGCACTCACATCAGCCGAGTCAAGTCCGTTGACCTCGATTCTTGGACCGACGAACAACTCCAAAGTGTTCTGAGCTGGGGAAACGCTCGCGCCAATAAATACTGGGAGGCCAAGCTTGCGCCAGGTCACGCCCCATCTGAAGCCAAGATCGAGAACTTTATCCGAACAAAGTACGAACTCAAGCGATGGGTTATGGACGGCCCCATGCCCGATCCTGCTACTCTAGATGCTGATGGCGACGACGACGTACCCCTTAGCATTGTAAAGGAGAAGCAAGTTATAGAGCGCAAGGAGTCCATCAGAAAGGCATCCCTGGGCAACTCACAAGCACCGAAATCTATTCCTGCACCTCAGGGAGATCTTATCGGCGGAGACCCTGTCCCTGTGCGATCAAGCAGTGCTGCTCCTCACTCGGCGAAGGTTGCTCCTAAGGCTGAGCCTGCTCCACCGAGAGCAACAAGTACAAAGGACTCGCTACTCGGACTCGACTTCTTTGGCGAGCCTGCGGCTCCTCCTCGACCGGCCAGCACAACTGGTACCGCTCCGAGCGGCCAGTCTCGTCCCGATTTGAAACAATCTATCCTATCTCTATATGCTACTGCGCCTAAACCTCAACCTCCTGCTCAACCTCAGCAACAGTCATCTGCGGGAGGCTTTGGTGGCCTTGCATCTCCCACCTTCAGCCACCAGTCTCAAGGCTCTGTTGGTGGCTTCAACGATGCCTTTGGTGGTCTCAGCATCTCGAACCCCCCTAAGCCCGCCGCTCCCGACCCTTTCGCAAGCCTCAGCTCTGCAAGTCGTACAACGTCAAGCAGCAATGCCTTTGGCGGCCTAGGAGGAGGTAGTTTCTTCAACAGCAAACCCTCCCAACCCGCTGCCCCTACCCACCAGCAGCAATCTTCAAACTTCTCGAACTTCGGTGGCTTTTCCTCCCCGCAGCCGGCTGCTCCTGCCGCTCCTGCCGCGCTCAAGCCCGCTCAATCCTCCGCCATGGGTGACCTTTTCGATCTTTCTGCACCTGTGACCACATCGCCTCCTCCACCACAACCCGCAGCTGCTTCTACCAACTCCGTCTTCAACCTCTCTTCTCCCCAAAGCCCTCCTGCTGCCGCGCCAACCAGTATGACGACAACAGCTAACGCGGCCAGTTCTATGGGAGGTTTCTCTGGTGCTGATGTTTGGGGTGGAAGTGATTGGGGAGCCCCTGCAGCTCCTGCACCAGCCCCAGTTCAGAAAGCACCTGAACCGCCAAAGCCCGCGGCGAGCGATTTTGGTTGGGGTAACACGGGAGGAGCATTTGCCAACACACCCATCGTCCCCGGGGCATCAGGAGGCTTCAATCCTATCGCATCGCCCAAGGTATCAGCCGATGAGGAGTTTGGAGGATGGACAAGCAGTGGACCTGCTGCTGGTGGCAGTGGTGGTCAAACCAAGCCTAGCGGTGGCTTTGGCGGAGATGAAGACTTGTTCTCCAACGTGTGGCAGTAGGTAGTGGGTTTTGGAAACATCTAGATGGCTTTTGGGGCGGAGGTTTCTATAAAACAATTGCAGGCATGATTGGCGTTTGCATGTTAGGAGTCAAGTAGATGCGAAACAGGATGGCTAGTAAATTGTACGACCATTATGACATTGGTTCCGGTGAGAAGCAATGTGAGTGTATTCAAATAACGCCGGCCCAACGCTGCGAAAACAGTAAAAATCCTGAGACACAACTCCTTAGCCTTTTAGCTGTGGACACTTGGATGTCCTTGACCATCTGTTTATACCACCTGATAAATATCCGTCTCCCCTTCACAACGGACGCCCTGTATTACGATCGTTCCCTGCCCAGCTTATATCTGTGCTAAGGCTCTTAGAACAACAGCTTAGCCCCGTAGAATAACACCAAGAAAACGCCAATAACGATTCCCGAGAGCTTCAGAATAGCGACACGGTTGCCTGATGCAGCCATGCGAGTTAAGCGGCCAGCAGAACCCTTCATCTGTGTGGTCATAGAGGAGAAAGTATCGGACTGTTGGCCGTTAGTAAACTGTAAGTTGTCGCTTCCGAAGGAGGCAGACGGACGGTGTTGTCGATGACATCCTGGGCTCGTGCATTATCGTAAATGTCTACTGTCACACCTCGAAGGGCGGAGACCTTTGCAGAGAGCTCATCCAGGCGCGCATTGTTCTGGCGCTCTCGTTCGTAGGCTTCGGACATGATGAAAGTTGCCGGAAGTTAGGGATGGCGAAACAGGGTTATCGATACGGTCTGGCTTGGGATGGAAACAAATTGTTTGGTGTGTGTTGTTTGTCGTCGCTTTGTGGAAGACAAGATGTCTTCGTCGTCGTGAATGTATCCTCGAAATGTCAAGTGCCAAGTTGTGAAAGGGGTTCAAGTTCTAACACAAAACCGATAGCCATGACGACCTCCTCGGTCGGCCCCAAAGTCCGCCACGGCCACCACCTCGCGGGCGCGCTGAGGTGGACATTCAGCGGTACGTACTCTGGTGCTCACACCGCCACACTTCAACTAACAGCCACACCTCTCGCCGCTGAGAAACTGGAGATTTCTCCATGCATCAAAGGAACTGGCGCCTAAGGCGGGGCAACATGTTACAGACAGGGCCTGATGAGAGAAAATGGTTGGGCAGTTGCAAAAGGCTCTACGTAGTAAGTTCAGCGGATTCGTTGTTATTCACGCTGTCACGTTGACTTGAATTACTGCGCCACACGACATGGAAGCTCCCCATTACGAGGTGCCGTGAATCTGCATGCCCAACGTCTGCACCAAATAGTGTAGGCTTAAGACCTCTACTTTTCCTTCTTCGTAACTTTGTCGATCCCACAAGTCCTTGTATAATATCGCCGCAGAATATTCTACACTCGTTTGCTTACGTCCACTCCTTGGCATATACCATCGAGGCGCAGCAGTAACTCGTCTGGTGACGACGCAACCCGGACAAGCTGGGCTACTATACCCATCATATCAACCCCACCCATCGCCCTTGTACTGAGAGCTTCTTGGCTCCTCCAACAACAGTTTTCGACTTGCGCGTAGATAACTTTCGATCCCTGTTCCTGTTTGTGCATTGTATTTCTTGAGCTTTGGTCGAGTGTATCAAGATGGGCATCAACAATCCCCTCCCGTCGTCTATGGCGTGTAAGTCGAGCCACCAAATTCCGCACTCATGATCGCGCATCATGGGCTACTCCACCCCCCAATGAAGCGATCGCCTCAAGTGCGAGACATGGCTAACACAACTCCCCAACAGCGGAATGTAAGAAGTGCGGCAAGATTCTGACTTCTTTCATCAATCCTCGCCAGTCTTTCGGTCCCGACAAGGTCATTCCTCCATCCATCCTCGCCAATGCTAAGGGTCTTGCCATCATCACCGTTCTCAAGGCCGGCTTCCTCGGCTCAGGCCGTTTTGGCAGCGGTCTCGTCGTCGCCCGACTTCCCGAGGGTGGTTGGAGCGCCCCGAGCGCTATTGCGACCGCCGGAGCCGGCTTCGGTGGTCAAGTCGGTTTCGAATTGACCGATTTTGTCTTTATTCTGAACGATTCGAGCGCCGTCCGGTCCTTTGCCCAAGCTGGCTCTTTGACACTAGGTGGCAATGTCTCCTTGGCAGCTGGTCCCGTTGGTCGCAATGCCGAAGCAGCCGGCGCTGCTTCTCTGAAAGGTGTCGCCGGTATCTTCAGTTACTCCAAGACCAAGGGTCTATTTGCTGGTGTTTCCCTTGAGGGATCTGCGATTATCGAGCGCCGGGATGCCAACGAGAAGATGTACGGCCAGCGCTTCACAGCGCAGCAGCTCCTCACCGGGTCTGTGAGGCCACCTCCTCAAGCTGCCCCTCTTATGAATATCCTCAACTCGCGCGTTTTCAATGGTATGAGAG